GTTGGAGAAGGGACAAACACCTCAACTGACTAGGATAATGTCACAGACATTAGAAATGAATAATTTAATTGCTGTAATGAATAGTGTTGTGGATAATTCCTTCCTTCCTTCCTTCCTTCCTTCCTTCCTTCCTTCCTTCCTTCCTTCCTTCCTTCCTTCCCTCCCCCTCCCTCCCTCCCTTTTCTTCCTTCCTTTCCTCCCTCCCTCCTCCCTTTCCTTCCTTCCATTTTCCTTCCTTCCTTCCTGCCTCCCTCCCTCCCTTTCCTTCCTTCCATTTTCCTTCCTTCCTCCCTCCCTCCCTCCCTCCCTCCCTTTCTCCCTCTCTCCCTTCCTCCCTCCCTCCCTCCCTTTCTCCCTCCCTCCCCCTCTCCCTTCCTCCCTCCCTCCCTCCATGCCTTTCCTTCCTTCCGATTTCCTTCTGGCTTCCCCATTGACATTTCTTTTCTTTCTCTTTCTCTTTCTCTTTCTCTTTCTCTTTCTCTTTCTCTTTCTCTTTCTCTTTCTCTTTCTCTCTCCTTCCTTCCTTCCTTCCTTCCTTCCTTTCCTTACCTTCTTTCCTTTCCTTTCCTTTCCTTCCCTTCCCTTCCTTCCTTCCTTCCTTCCTTCCTTCCTTCCTTCCTTTCTTCCTTTCTCTCTCTTTCTCTCACTCTCTTTCTTTCTTTCTTTCCCTCTCTACCCCCACTCCTCTCTCCCTTCCTTCCTCCCCCCTCCCAATATTACTAGGATTAACAAATAACAATTTCTCCCATTGGATTGAACTGTGGGTCTGATGCAACTGGGCATAGCTGGGACATTTCACTTAGTAACAAAAACTTCCCATGGGAAGAATCGTGATCGCTCAGGGTGATGACCAACTCACGATTCTCCATAGGTGTTTCTTTCCTAAGGGGCCATCATCAGAAAGTCATATATCATTAGCAATACACGGGAGCTCCTAGGCCCTCCGTATTGTTCTGCAACTAAAGCTGAACATTCAGTTTCTTAAAGGAAATATGCATTCTTCCAAAAGTGCTTTTTTTTCAAGAGGCAACTGGGCTCTCTGTTTTTTCTTTGAAGATGTTTCGCTTCTCATCCAAGAAGCTTCTTCAGCTCTGACAGGATGGAGGGGAATGGAAGGATTTATACTCCTTGCAGACAGCTGGTCATTTGCATCCTTTTAAGAGAGGCGTTGAGGCCACTTGGAGGTGTATCTGTGTCCTCAGGGTCACCTGAGTGGTGCAAATGGTTCCTCTAGTCTGCAATTTTCTCCTCTGGAAATCCATTCCTACTCCCACACCGTTCAAAGGGTCTTCATCCGAAATTGTATAGCTCCAAGTCTGTAGAGATTCTCAGTCATCCAGGTCAGGGTTGTCCCAAAGGGGCTTTTTCAGGAGGCAACTGGACTTTCTTCTTTGTTTTTCTTTTGAAGACATTTCACTTCTCATCCAAGAAGCTTCTTCAGCTCTGACTGGATGGCGGGGAACTGAAGGATTTATACTCCTTGCAGACAGCTGGTCATTTGCGTCCTTTTAGGAATCATTGAGGCCACTTGGAAGTTTATTGGTCTCCTCAGAATCACCTGAGTGGAGCAAATTTTTCCTGTAGTCTGCAATTTTTTCCCTCTGGAAATCCATTCCTACTCCCACACCGTTCCAAGGGTGTCCATCCCAAATTGTATAGCTCAAAGTCTGTAGAGATTCTCAGTCCTTCTGGTCATGGTTGTCCCAAAGGTGCTTTTTCAGGAGGCAACTGGACTTTCTTCTTTCTTTTTCTTTTGAAGATGTTTCGCTTCTCATCCAAGAAGCTTCTCCTTCAGCTCTGATGTGCCTTGTTATTATGTTATCCAATATAACGTACTTTTTTCTCTTTACATGCTGGGGTTTTTGATCTTAGTCGCAAATTGGCCATCCTGTTATTTACGATAATGAAAACACTACCTTGGCTAGAATTTCTCTGGGAAGAAGTTCACACGAGGAACCGGTGGAATGACCTTCAGTTCTGGGGTTTACTCCAGCCCCTGTTGTGGCCCGTACGCGGCCTGTGCAGCTAGTAGCTGATTCAGACAGCGAGGAGGCTGGTGTGGTGCTGCACCAGCAGCCTGTGCAGCTGGCACTCAAGTCAGACAATGAGGAGGCTGGAGAAGATGTGGTGCCAGAGGCAGGGATTCAGCCAGGGCCTTCAAAACCTCCAGAAGCTCCTTTAAGTGAAGAGGATGAAGAGGAGGAGCCTCTTCTTGATGCATGGGCATGCAGAGCTGCCAAAAGGCAGGAATGGCTCCTCAGGAGGAGGTCTCCTCGAGAGTAAGGCTTGGGGCTAATTGGCCACTCCCCTAGCCTATTTAAGGAGGAACACCAACTGAAGCAATTTGCAGGGAACAACTCCGTTCACATACCTTCGTGTCTTGTCTTGCTTATCTTATCAGCTTCCTGCAAATTGATTCTGGGCATTCTGCCAACCACAGTAAGCTTTCAGTTATTATTCTTTGAATTCTTGGTGGCTGTTAATGCAGTTAATTAACAGTCCTTGTTGTAAAAGACTGGTTTATTCAGGTAAACTAAGGTTTGAATGGACTTTCTGTGTGCTGCATTCTTTGGGGTCCGTAGCTGGGGCAGAACAGCCCCAAATCCTACAGGTAACCCTCAATTTACAACAGCTCAAAAAGTGACTTATGACTGTTTTCACACTTAAGACCGTGGCAGCATCCCCATGCCATGTGAGCAAGATTTAGATGCTTGGCGACTCATGTCGCAGTGACCTTCTGACAAGCCACGTCCAGGGGAAAGCCAGATTCACTCAACAACCATATCACTAATTTAACCCCTACAGTGATTCACTTAATAACTCTGGCAAGAAAGGCCATAAAATGGGGCAAAGCGCACTAAACAACTATCTCGCTTAGCGACATAAATTTTGTGCTCGATTGTGGTCATAAATCATGGATTAACATTAGCTTTCTGACCCGTATTCCCCTCTCACAAGTCCTCATATCACCATTATTCTTTATGTCCTGTCCGGCCATCTCAATATCAATCACCAAGAACCCAATTATAACCCACATAAACCCATGCACGCACACACCAAAGCTTTATGTTCCCATCACACCAGAATCTTCTCTTAGGTATTGTTCATGGACAAAGGTTGGGATTGTCTGGGTTTCCATGTTGACATTTCATCTTTGCTTCCATAGGCCTCCTTCAACCTGGCCAAGGTCTCCATTTTTCATGTGGCTAGACAGGGGTGGACACCTGCCTTGGCACCACCCTACAGGCACCCCTGGGTGCTGTTCACCCAAATGTCGAATTTGGGACTCACGTTGCCCATGTTGAAGAACGTTGACTTCCGCCTCTATCCCCACGTTTTTGGCCTCTGTACCCCCCCCGCCTTCAGCTGGTACAATCTGTTATTTCTTCTCACCCCAAACCACAGTGGTGGATCAACCCACTTTTCAAGCTGCAACCCATCAGGATTCAGACATGAAGGGGAGAAATTGCCCCAAAGCTGGCTTTGAGCTGGATCTGGAGAAGATTGAAAAAGCAAAAAAAGTTTCTCCTGAACCTCAATTTTTGAGGTTCCCACCTGGCTGTTGCAGGAAGACAAAGGTTGGGCAGGTGAGGAAGCTTTGGAACCAATGCAGGTGAGCAGATAGCGGGCAGCTCATGAAGGGAGTGAAGTGATGGCAGGAGATGAAGGCAAGGTGTTCAAAGTGGTACCCACCAACCCATCCAACAACATGGCATCCAAAACAATTAGCAGCAGCACAAGAGGAAAGAGGAGCGAGGATGGGGACCACCTACCAAGAGTTCAAACATCGATGTTCCCACATGCATCCTGAAACCCAACCCTTCAGGGCCCCAACGGTGCTTTTCCAAAAGGCAACTGGACTTCCTTGGTTTTGCTTGAAGATGTTTCTGAGCAGAAGAAGCTTCTTAGATGAGAAGCGAAACACCTTCAAGCGAAACCAAGAAAGTCTAGTTGCCTTTTGACGAAGCACCTTTGGGACAACCATGGCCTGGATGACTGAGGATCTCCAACCCTTCTGTCTTTGGCCAAAGCAGATTGAATCCTGCTGATGATCAACTTCACCGTTGAATTCACTTTCATCTCTCCTCCGTCCCTTCCCTTCTTCCCATCCCTCCTTCTCTGCTTTGGCATTCCACATGTCCCTCTCCATCCATCACCCTGACCAACCTCTCTCCTCCATGGCTCCTTTCCCTGTCCCTTCTCCCAGTGCAGAATGAGACAACTTGCCATGGCCAACTCAATGCAGCCAACTCATTATGGCCGACTCAACGCAGCCAATTCACTCAGGGACAAGTCAACAAATACTGTACGAAAGTTTAAATTAATTTCAAACGGAAGCCTGGCAAATAATAAATTAAAATAGGTCAATCCAGAAATACAAGAGCGATGATCATTTTGGCCAAAATGTGGTCACCGATAACACAACTAATGGAATGAATAGATTAATACAGCGTTGAATTGACCCGCAATGAGTTGGCTGTGATGAACTGGCCATGGAGAATTGTCCTAGAAGCCCCCCACCCCCAGTGTATGGGGCTTCCCCATTCTCTGCAGCCAGGGTTTTGGGGTGTGCGGCCCCACATATTCCCTTGTGTAGCAGGAGACACAGGATTTGAGTCGGTTAGACAGTAAGAAGGAAGGAAGTGGAGAAGTTACAGGAAAGGTCCTGGAGGGAAGGAAGGACAGAGTTGATCAACAAAGGTAAAGTGAGAGGGGAGGGAAAAGTCAGCTGAATATAAATTTGCAAAAAAAAAAAAAAAAAAAAAACCAACCCGGGAAAAATAAATAAATAATAAAAATAGCAGTCGGAAGGAAATCAAATTAATAATAATAATAATAATAATAATAATAATAATAATAATAATAATAATAATAGTCAAAGTAGATCAGAGAAAGTTCCTTTCCTGGATGAAACTAATTGTTTTGTTATCTTTACCCACCAAAGCATTTACTTTGGTTTGTCGCCCGATCCACAAACACTTTCGAGGAGATGACATTACCGAATGGCAGGAACATCTGCATCAGCTCTGCGTCCCCAAACTCCTGGGGCAGATGGTAGATAAACAGGTTGCAGCCCTCTGGTCCTAGGGGGAAGGTGGAGGAGGACAGAGAAAGAGGGAGGGAGGGAGAGAGGGAAGGAGAGAGAAGAGAGAGAGAGAGAGAGAGAAGGGAGAGAGGGAGGTAAGATGCCAGAAAGTGAGGAGGTCCCAGCTGGGACAAAACATGGGTCCACTCAGTGATGGTATTCAGCCGGTTCTATCCGGTTCAGGCAAACCTGTAGCGGAGGCTGTGGGAGGCTCTGCAGGGGATGAAATTCAGCAGGTTCTCACAGGTTCTGGAGAACCGGTAGCGGAAATTTTGAGCAGTTCTGAGAACCGGCAAATACCACCAAAGGCTGCTATTCCCAGTGGGCTGGGAATGGAGATTTTGCAGTATCCTTCCCCCACCACGCCCACCAAGCCACGTCCACCAAGCCACACCACGCCCACCAAGCCACACCACGCCCACAGAACCGGTAGTAAAAAAAATTGGATTTCACCACTGGGCTCCGCCCACCCGCCCAGACGTCATCACGTCCCGTTTTTGATGCTCTCTGCTTGCGCGGAGGTGGCAATCGCTCACATTTGCAAACCGGTAGCGATCCTAAGTTAATACCACCCCTGGTTCTACTACCACAACTTACTCATTGTCTTCTATAACCCCAAGTATCTGAGAAATGAAAACAGGAATCATCTTGAGGCATAAAATAAAGAGGTAAAACCTTCTTCTTGGTCACATTGTTAAGATGGTCTCTAGGAGATCAGATCAGATTCTGGCACCTAACACAAGCCAGTTAGTGATGGGTTGGGAAGGCTTCTCAATAGGCATAAAATTATACATCTCACTTTTTAACCCACGAGGCGGAAACTTGTGAGAAACCCGGAATTATTGGGTTTCTTTTTTCTGTCTGTAGAGGGGCACAAGAAGAGCTATGCTGGGTTCCGCTGAAGTTATCCCTGAGGGTTGATCACATAACTTCAACTCCACTGAAGTTACCCTGAGGGTAATCTCAGAAACCTTAGGGGCTATATTACAGTATATCCTTCCTGTGAAGAAGCAATAGAAGAAGAAGCAGAATAAAAGGAGGAGGAGGAGGAGGAGAACAAGAGGAGGAGGAGAACAAGATGAAAAGAAGGAGAAGGATGAAGAGGAGGAGGAGGAGGAGAAGGAGAAGGGAGGAGGTTTGCAGAGAGGAGGAGGAGAAGAAGCAGAAGAAAAGGAGGAGAAGGAGGAGGAGAAGGAGAAGAGAGAGGGTTTGCAGAGAGGAGGAGGAAGAGGAGGAGGAGGAGAAGAAGCAGAAGAAAAGGAGGAGGAGGAGGAAGAGGAGGAGGAGGAGGAGAAGGAGAAGGGAGGAGGTTTGCAGAGAGGAGGAGGAAGAGGAGGAGGAGGAGAACAAGATGAAAAGGAGAAAGAGGAAGAGGAGGAGGAGGAGGAGAAGAAAAGGAGGAGGAGGAGAAGAAGAGGAGGAGGAGAACAAGATGAAAAGAAGGAGAAGGAGGAAGAGGAGGAGGAGGAGAAGGAGAAGGGAGGAGGTTTGCAGAGAGGAGGAGGAAGAGGAGGAGGAGAAGCAGAAGAAAAGGAGGAGGAGGAGAAGCAGAAGAAAAGGAGGAGGAGGAGAAGCAGAAGAAAAGGAGGAGAAGGAGGAGGAGGAGGAGGAGGAGGAGAAGGGAGAGGGTTTGCAGAGAGGAGGAGGAAGAGGAGGAGGAGGAGAAGAAAAGGAGGAGGAGGAGGAGGAGAAGAGGAGGAGGAGGAGGAGAAGGAGAACAAGATGAAAAGAAGGAGGAGGAGAAGGAGGAGGAGGAAAAAGAAGAAGAAGAAGGAATAGAATAGAATAGAATTCTTTATCGGCCAAGTGTGATTGGACACACAAGGAATTTGTCTTTGGTGCATACGCTCTCAGTGTACATAAAAGAAAAGATACATTCGCCAAGAATCATAAGGTACAACACTTAATGATAGTCATAGGGTGCAAGAGGAACAAGGAGGAGGAGAAGGAGAAGGAGAAGAAAGAAAGAAAGAAAGAAAGAAAGAAAGAAAGAAAGAAGAATGATGAGGAGAAAGAAAGGGAGGAGAAGAAGGAAAGAAGAAGAAGGAAGAGAAGGAGAAATCTTCTAATTTCTTCTTTAAAAGTCCCCTTTGTGTATTTCCTGGTAAAGGGTTTTATTGAGAATAGGGGGGAAAAAACCCTCTCTAAATACCAACGCATGGGCAATTTAATAAAAAAAAAAGGGGGATTTATCTTCTCTCTTTTTTAGGAATGTCAGAAAAAAAAAATCCAGCATCTCATCTCCAAGGACTTCTTTGAAAGTTGTCATGTCGCGCTAGTATAGCAGAGGTTCAGGAATTTCTACTTTCTTGTACTTGGGATTTGAGAGGAGACTTCAGGATAAGCACCAGAAGGCAGGAGAAGAAGCAACGGATGGAAACTAGTCAAGGAGAGAAGCAACCTAGAACTAAGGAGAAATTTCCTGACAGTGAGGACAATTAGCCACTGGAACAGCATGCCACCAGACGTTGTGGGTGCTCCATCACTGGAGGTTTCCAAGAAGAGATTGGACAACCATTTGTCTGGAACTGATATAAGGTCCCTGGCTTGTGCAGAGGGTTGGACTAGAAGACCTTCAAGGTCCCTTCCAGTTCTGTTATTCTGTATTTTGATGCGGATAATTAAGAGATGGGTCTTTGATGACATGGACACTACTGCCATCTTTTGGTGTGCGCTCTCTCTCTCTCTCTCTCTCTCTCTCCCTCCCTCCCTCCCTCCCTCCCTCCCTCTCTCTCTCTCTCTCCCCCCCCACACACACCTCCAGTGGGGAGAAGAAGGAACAACAACTCCCGCCTATCTAGACGAGTCTGTTTTTTAATGCTCTCGCTTTTCATGGGGGCATAATTATAATGTCATAACACTGCAAATTACAACTTTTCCTTTCCTCTAAGAAAGAGGCATTCACAAAGGGGCTTTTCCGCCCCCCCCCACTTTTTATGGGTCGTTACTCATCCCTTGGCTGGCAGGTCAGTTCCGCCAAGTCAGGATTCTGACAGATGCCCATTTAAAGCTCATTAAAATTCCCGAGTCTCCGGCGTGATTGAAAGTCCTGTTCTTGCGCTGCGTTTCCATTTCAGATTAATAGAAAAGGGAACCCTGGATGAAGACTTGCCGAACGCAAATTTTCCCTTGGTGCTTACGATGCGGAGAGCACGTGAAGATCTTCTGAGGGGGGTACAAGGCTGTGCTTGATGAAATTGCACCTCTCAGAATCCAAGTTATGTTCTCCCCTCCCAAACGGTCTACTTAATTAATGTAACAGAATACAATAACAGAGAAACAGAGTTGGAAGGGACCTTGATGGTCTTCTGGCGAGGAGGCTGGTGTGGTGCTGCACCAGCAGCCTGTGCAGCTGGCACTCGAGTCGGACAATGAGGAGGCTGGAGAAGATGTGGTGCCAGAGGCGGGGATTCAGCCAGGGCCTTCAGAACCTCCAGAAGCTCCCATAAGTGAAGAGGAAGAAGAGGAGGAGCCTCTTCTCAATGCACGGGCACGCAGAGCGGCCAAAAGGCAGGAGTGGCTCCTCAGGAGGAGGTCTCCTCGAGAGTAACGTTTGGGGCTAATTGGCCACTCCCTTAGCCTATTTAAGGAGGAATGCCGACTGAAGCAATTTGTAGGGAATAACTTTAGTTCACTCTCTGCGTCTGGATTCTCTGCAAATTGCTTCTGGGCTTTCTGCCAACCTTAGTAAGATTGTGATTACTTTATCTGTGGTTTCTTGTAGGCTGTTAAGAAAGTTTATTAACAGCCTTTGTTCTGAAAAAGACTGAGTTATTTTAGTAAATTAAGCTTTGTACAAACTTTATGTGTGCTGTGTTCTTTGGGGTCCGTAGCGGGGGCAGAACAACGGGGTGCTTTAATCTGGCCTGTGGGTCCGGCCTGGAAATATCAAAGGACCAGCCCACAGCCCATTTTCAGCCTCCACAGCCTCCTGCAGCACTCTGCCGGCCAAAAATGGGCTGCGTGGAGGCCCCACGAGGGCCCTGCACGGCCTGTTTTTGACCTCCTTGGCCTCCAGCAATCTGCCAGCCAAAATCGGGCTGTGCGGAGGCCTTGCTCCAGTAGGCTGTTTAGGCCGAAAACGGGGCAGAGGGGGTCACACGCAGCACCCCCCACGCCCCATTTTGGCCAGCAGGGTGCTGCAGGAAGGCCATCTCCCCCCGTGCTCCCCGCCTGCCTCCCACCCCGCCGGCCTGTGGAGGAGAACTACAATGCTGATCCGGCCCTCAAAGAAATCCAATTTGACACACTTGCCATAAACCACTCCAGACAAATTATTGTCCAATCTCTTCTTTAAAAAAAACCTCCAATTAAGGAGCACCCACAATTTCTGGAGGCAAGACTGATTAATTGTTCTCACTGCCAGGAAATTTCTCTTAATAGATAGGTCCATAATTGGGCCACTGAAAGGAACAAGTAGACGATGGTTGGATCCATTCAATACTTCAGGTTGAACAAGAATTATATCTTGTTCTTTGACAGCCATTATGGTCCAAATGAGATCACCAACATGCCACAGGGAACATTCATTGCCTAATTCCACAAAAGCAAGGTGTCAGGATTTTCTGGAGTCACAGTGGAGGAATCTCCTGGTGACTTCTGACACTAAGTAGTCAACTTGGTATCATCACCAAGATGAAGTTTTGATCACCATGATATAAAAAAAGATGTTGAGACTCTAGAAAGAGTCCAGAGAAGACTAACAGAGATGATTAAGGGACTGGAGGCTAAAACATATAAAGAACAGTTGCAGGAATGGGGAATGTCTTCTCTGCATCGCTGACTATTGGGGGTGAGTCTTTACCCCCCACAGAGAGGGCCCGCAATCTGGGCGTCCTCCTGGACGCACGGCTGTCTTTAGAAGAACATATGACGGCCGTGGCCAGGGGGGCTTTTTATCAGGTTTGCCTGATTTGCCAGTTGCAGCCCTTTGTGGATCGCGACGCCTTGCGCACAGTCACTCACGCCCTTGTCACCTCCCGACTGGACTATTGCAAT